AATTTATGTTCAGTGATACTCTAAACTAAAAAATAAAAAGAATCAGTGGTGTTGATTTGAGTAATGTGTGCTTAATAAAATGTAGTCATTCCCCTGAATATTAGACAGACTTACTATCGGAGCCAGCCGATATCTCGAACAGTCCTGAGCGGGGGGCGTTAGGATTAAGAAAAGAGACAGAAGAGAGAGAGTTACCGGGAGGACTCCAGTAAATACTGAAGCCCCGAGTTTATTTTCCAACACCCTTATATACATCCAGGGTACTGCAAAACAGAAGGGATAAACATGCATTACCTCCTTCAAAAGTAGATCATTAACTATCTACTAGATACTTTAAAGGTCAGGGAGAGACCTTAGGGGTAAGCCTCCCAGAACACTTCCTTCCATTAACCCAAATAGCTACAAATCTTCTGTGTCTCTTTAGGAACTGGCCGAACTCGCCTGGTACCTTAGTGTTAAGTAAAACATCCTACAGGTGCAAAAAGGAGCAAAACAAGATGCAAAACAATGCATCACTAAAGCCAGCCTGCACGGTTCCCAACAACTTACCTCCCAATCATTGGAACCACGGAGCAAGTGCAGGCCTTACCCACCAACCTAACAGGTTTAACGTGCATGTCCCTAGCTGGATTGCACCTTCTCTGTAAGCAGATCAGAGAAGAGAAAAATCCAGAATGCACAGAGCTAAGTATGCCTGTCTCCTTCTTCCAAAGGTTGCCATCAGATAGATCAGTGGGGAGCAGAGGAAAAGAAGAAACACAAAAAAAGCTGGAAGTATTCCTCCCATAGCTTCTGTCCTGGGGATTGGAGTGGCAGTTCCTTACTTTATGGCAACATGAGGAGTGGAGAATGATTATCTTACTAAACAGTTATTTCAACATCAGCAATGTTTGAGGAAGTATATTAGTCTGTATCCATCCTAGAGTTCCAGTATGTTGACATTTTCATTTGCTTTACTTCTATCTGCTGCAAGGTTTTAAAATCTTTGATGTCTTGATTGCATCCAACTCAAATGTTGCCATTTCCTTACTAACTAGACAGAGTTGGATCATTGCTGATGTTGAAGCAATGCATAACATGGCACCTCACTGCTTCTGAAGATGTGAAAAAACAGTGGCTACTTTTCCCATGGATATTATTTTTGGAAAGCTGTGCTAGCTGTGGATATAAGGATACCATGGGTGCTCTTAATGTTTGAGCCAAAGCGAAACCATTCTTTTCCAAAGGACAGGGGTTAGGGCAGAGCCACCCCAACACTTGCTGATGTCAGCAGTGGTATGACTACCACACATCTACCTTACCCTGCAGCAAAAAGCTTGTAGGATGGGGGATGAAATCTCACACTTCAAAAGAAATTCACGAGCATGCCACCACACACACACACACACACACACACACACACACACACACACACACACACACACACACATGCGTGCACGTTCACTCACTCACACTTACAGTCTATACCAATAGCTTTTAAGATAAAACCTAGATTGTGTAGGAGAGAGACTGGAGATAGGCAAGAGTTGTTATACAACACTTCTTAAATTTCCCTCATAAAAAGCACGATAATGTTGATTTAACTATATAGTAATGAAATTCACTTTCATGAGTACATGCAAAAATGGACCCATTATTTTATGTCAAACCACTTAAAGCTATGATTTCTAGCTCAATGAAAGAGTATTTTGAGGGATTTGCACAGACTAATAAACCTCATGCAATTTGTAAGTACATTTGTGTCTGCACCAAGGTTAATCAAAATATCTTAATAAAATGTACCTCGCTTGCCACGACTTCTGTTTAATGAGGAGCATCTGTATGCTTCACTGGCTGATTCTAAATTCTAGCAAATTGTTTACTTAGATATCATAATAATGTAGCTTAATGATGCATACAATACAGATCAAGTGATTCAGTTTTACAAGTATTTTTTTATAATGCTGTGTTCTCTGCCTGGAATATTGTCAAAATTGAAAACAAACCTTTGAGATTACCTAGTGAAACCTTTTCATTTATAGATGAGGAAATGGAGTTAATAACAACACCAGGATGAGAAAGCAGTTTTTAACTCCTGATTCTTTGTTCTGTCCTCTACCCTTCCTTCAAGACCAAGTAGAAGCCACACCTTCTTCATAAAGCTTTCCTTGACCCCCAATGATTTATCACTTTTATGAACCCCTAATCATGGTCCATACTGTACCATTTATCATTTGGTTAAAAACTCTTGGGCTGGCCAAGTGGCTCAGTTGGTTAAGAGTTCGCTCAAGTGTGTGAGCTCTGAGCAACAGCGGTTCGATTTCCCCGCCCGAGCTGAGCTGCCAACAGGTGGCTCAGCTAAAAAAAAGAAAAAACAAAACAAAACTCTTGTCACTGCGGATATTGTATCTCACTCTGTATCTCTAAAATTATTATCTGAAGGGCAAAAAATCCATGTTTTATGAGTCTCTTAACTGGGTGGGACACAGTACCTAGCAAAATCATGTGCACCACCTCATCTTCTCAGGTATTTGTCCCTTTCCTACTGAATTAAACACTTTGCTCTGTGTCACTTCAACGCTACCATCCTCTTTAGTAACCTAAAGTTTCATATGCACGATTTTTTCAACCATATTCTTACACTATCACACACACACACACACACATCCTGGATACTTAACACTGTATCTGACACATAGTAAGCACTCAATGAATGTTTGTTGAGAGAGAGAGAGGGAGAAAAAGTAAGTTACTTCTTGAGGTTACTATGATCAGATAAGGTACACAAGTACACAGAGGAAGTAGGGTTAAAGTTGAGCCTTGAAGAAATCATAGTGATTAACATGCAAAGAGGAAGGAAAATTATATTTGAGACAAAGAGTATGCTGTGTTTTAATCCCAAATTGAGCACTTATCCTCTATTTAATCTTAGGAAACTTACTTTGGATTTCTGAGCCTCTGTTTCTCCATCTGCTGAACTAGGACACTATCATATGTTTCATAGTGTTGTTATAAGAAATAACTGAGATAAATTACTCAGTAGGATTCAATAACAATAGTTATTAACAACAACAAAAGTTAATAATAACTCCCTGAATAAAGAAGCTAGAAGTGCTGGTGAGGGCATGATGGGTAATTTCAGGCCTGGCACTTCGTAGGGGAGTAAACTTGAGGTAGTTTGTTGTTAAGTATTAAACAAGTAATATATACAAAGTGCCTGTCATATGCCAGGCACAATGGTGGACACAATAAATCTTAATTCTCATCTGTGATGTACCAACATCACATCCCACCCTCTGTACCTTTCTTTTCTTTCCCTCTTGTTTGCCTTTGCCTCCTCCTATGCTTTTCTCTATCTCTTTCTTCATCACCTGGTTCTTTTACTTGCCTACCTATGCCTTGGGCTTTCAACAAGTGTTTACTGATAGTTTCATTCGAAAGCATTTATGGAGCACTTACTGTATATCAGGTACTGTGCTAATAACACTAGATTCAAACACAGCTGCCTGTGTTGCCCTTGGAAGTATTTCAAACGCATTTGCATGAATGAACCATGTCTCCTCCAGGGAAATCAGTTTGCAAAGTACATCAGCTTGAACTTAGACAAAGTCACATTGAGGGCCAAACGGACTCACATTTCTTTTGGTTCCAAAACGTGTGTATGTGGACATAGCAAAGAGAAGAACCAGGAAATCTCAAATAGGAATCACTGGAATGGCAGAAAGCAACAGTGAACAATGGTGAAGAAACAAAGGTCAAAATAACCCATGAATCCCATTTTTGCCAATATAGCCTGAGGAAGTAATTATGGAATGCACAAAGACTTAGCTTAAAGATGTTCCTTGCAGGTTTGTTTATATAATATTACAAAAGTAGAACAAGCCTTAGCATTTAACAATGGATTAATTCAATTATGGTTTATCCATATAAGCTATTAATAAATGATGTCACAGAGGAATACTCAATAACATGGAAAGATGACCAGGCTATATACTATTAACTAACAAAAGCAGATTGCCAAGAAAAGTATACCCAGTGGGCCTGTGTCTTAAGTGTATATGAATAGAAAAAAGAGTAGAAGGCTAGCAAGATATTAAAAATAATGGATACTGAATGTCAGAATATGAAGTTTTACTTTTCTTTCCTGTTTCTAGTTTTAAATGTTCCCATGTACCACTTTTGTAACAACAACAAAAAATGCCATATATATGTAGACATATATACAAAGAATATACCGAGAGTGCCAAAAAAAATGTATACAAGTGGACACTTTGGTCAGTGTTGCTCAAGAAGTAGTTCGCTGTAATCAGAAGTGACTGGACGCTGATGGTAACCATTTTGAGCACTTCTTGTAATTGCAGAAGTCAAACGTGACTTGTAGTCATCTTTTTTTTATGGGTATATATTGAGTATTGCAATTTTAATAGTTTTTCCTTTCTTAAAATGTGTATACTTTTCTTGGCACCATATTATATATATATATATATATATATATACACATATATATACATATATACATATATATATATATTCAATGGTTTTATTAAAAGAATCTTAAGTACACAGTGACTTAGATAGATAAAACAAACTTCAATTGCCATGTTTACATCCACAGACCTACCCATACTAATATATTTTTTAATTTACTCACTTTTTTCATTTTTAGCACCCTCTGTATATATGTACATAATAAGTGGTTTAGTAACAACAAAAATAATATATAAATATATATAGTCTACACGCATACACACTTATACACACATACATGTGTTTTGTGAGTGGAGATGAATGATGGATGGATGGATGGATGGATGGATGGATGGATGGATGGATGGATGCACGGATATGATAAACGGTAGATGGCAGATGAGAGAGGGAGAGTCCAGGTCCAGGAGGCACGCAGCGCGAGGTGTCTAGGGGTGCGATGCTTAATGAGCCCCGTGTGGTGTCATCAGTTACAAGGTAATGAATACCAACGAATGTCCCAGCAGTTGTGCCTGAGCCTGTCCTTTCTCCGTCAGGTCGACGCCCACGGCAACATTCTCCTCAGCACCCTGGAAATCAGGAACGAGACGAGCGGCTCGGAAGTGCTCACGGGCGTGAGCGACCCCAAGACCACCATGTACTCGTACGACAGCGCCAGCATCCACTACCGCAAGCCGATGAGCAGCCGCGAGGCCTACGGGCGCGCGCTGGAGCGGCACGGCGCGCACAGCAAGGGGCGCATCCGCAGGCGCGCCTCGCAGCTCAAAGTCAAAATCCCAGACTTGACTGACGTCAATTCCATAGACAAGTGGTCCCGAATGTTTTTCCCCATCACCTTCTCTCTTTTCAACGTCGTTTACTGGCTTTACTATGTACACTAAGGTCTGTCCTAATGGTTTCGGAAACGACGCCTTTTCCTCTTCTCTTGCTGTTTTAACCCACAGGTCCCCAACAGCAATCCTGTTGTGTTTTTTGAGGTAAGAGATTCAGCCATCGAATTGGTTTTAGGTCTTGCATATCAATTTTATTACTGCACCATGTTTACTTAAAAAAAAAAAAAACACTATTTTTTTCCAGTCTACTGTGGTTCCAGGTTATCAGCTCTTTCAGAGCTTATTAATTGCCATGTTTACAAACAAACACACTCACAGAGCAGTAGGTAGGTAGGTCGTGAGTAGTCCTTCCTAGCCCTCGATTTTATTGATTTATTTTTTTAAACAAGAATGAAAAGACCTAGCTCTCTGTGCACACTGATTCCTGGTAAACTGTAACAATCTCATGCTGCCAAAAAAAACCAATACAATTTCCAGGATCTCAGAAGAAAAAAAAAACAAAGCCATTGACAAGTTACAGATTTCCAGGAAGAAGGGAAAACAAAAAGGAGCCTAGAAGAGGAAGAAAGACCCCCACACACACACACACTCCCAAACTTCCCTGACTCTGTCATAGGGGTCTCAGCTCCAGGAGAGGAGGGAGGGATTGGCAAGGTCTGATCGAGGTTATGCAAACCCAATCTGCCAGCTTCACCTCTCCATTAAACTGGATCTTCTGAAAAATGCTTCTTTCTCAGACTTCCAGACCGATTTAAAATTAACATTAGAATCCAACCTGGTAACCATTGAGAGCATTTTTCTTTTCTTCTTGAGACTAAGGAGTTTAGGAGTTAATGACCTCTTTCTTTTAACTATTTCTAATGGACAGCCCTGAACTCATTTCATTAGCCTGGAGTCACTTGACGTTGTGCAGTGAAGCCATGCCATCGCATTTCCCTCGTTCCTGCTCCAGGGAGAGTGAGAGAAAGGTGACTAGCGGAGGGAGATTCAAAAAGGAGGAGAGTGAGCAATTTTTGCTTGAGAAAAATATTGCTCTTTCCGTGTAAAGGCAAGACTTATGTGCTGTGAAAAGGGTGCCTGGGCAGTTACCTGAGCTGCCAAAATCTTAGATCAAATAGTATATATTTCTTAGCCTTCCAGAGAGCAGCATTTCATGGTGACAGGCTAGTTACACAGGCCTCAGCCAGCACCTTATGGCTCTGCTCTCTGAGCTCTGCATTCCAAAATATTAAATGATTGCTTCAGGAAAGGCACACACACACCCATTTGGGTGTCATAGTTCTCCAAGGCCAGATTTCTGTTTCGAAGAAAACCTTAAAATAGCAACACCATAGATGACAGCAACAATGACAAACTCACTGGGCCTTCTAAACATTCATACCAGCCCCTTACGTATGGATGCTGTGTACACTCATTAATCACTGTCATTGCTGCTCTGCCTTATCTCTGCTCATAGATTACTTTGGTCACGGCCGTGGTAGAAGGAACATTCCTCAATAGCTCACCACACAATTCTAAACATGTCCAACCAGCTGCAATTGAGATTCATCCCTTTCTATGTCATTAAAGCCTCGTTATTTTTTTGAGTTTGAATATCTAAGAATTCTGTATGTGCATTAACCAGGCGGAGTAAAACTCTAAGTTGACCAACCAGTGATGGAAGCGATGGGGACCTACTCCACAGAAGTGAAATAAAGGTTGAGGTAATCATAGGGATAATTGCCTAATTTTATGATCTGACTGTCTCCCTAAGGCTGTGACGAGGGTTCATGCATCAGCTGCTAGAAAGTATAGCCTTAATTGAACGATAAGGCTGAATTCCTACTGATGAGCCCAAGGAGAGAGAGTTATATTCTTTTAGAAAGCAAGAGGAAAACAGAATCCCAAAAATAAATGAATGGTTATGACTATAGGTAATATACATTAGGAAAGATATACAAACTCTGCTTTGACTAGAAAAATTATCTCAATGGTTTCATAAGGAATTAGTAGGGTATGGGGACCAAATTTTCATTTAGGTTTTAATTGTATAATCACAGTTCCCTGGTCAAGGAAATGTCTAGTCTCTGGGGATACAGTGATCCATTTTGAAACTGACTATTTCCTTGGCAGGGTGAGATGCTTTGCCATTGTAAAACACCCAAATAGAGTGGAAAGTGACCATACCAGTGACTGTAAGGTTAACATTCCCAATGACCACCCAGGAACCCCTGTGTAGCCATTTATTTTAAATACTGGAAAGGAGACTTGGCTAGTGCCTAACAGGAATGAATCATTCTGGTATCAAAGCTCTTTAAAAAACTTTTAAGGATGAAGTGCTAAATCAGAAAGAAAGTATCTGTAATCTATGTTCCTTAACAAAACAATTTTTCTTTATTTATCTGTTTAGATCATTCTTCTTGGAAAAGATTGAGGTATTTATATTTTTATTATTATTTTTATCTCGCCTTAAAAGTCTAAAGAATTTGATGCTGTAGTTTAGATGTAAAGTATTGATAAGAAAAAAAGAACATTTTGAATAATTATATCTTAACCTTTGTAAACTGTAAAATTAGTAAGCCTGAATATTACATCAGGCACAAAATGGTGTCACTGTATGGCCTCCTGGACAGTAGAGGTGTCACAGACACCATTATGCAAATCCTATTCAACAGCTCTGATTTTAGAAGCAATGGTAGCCAGAAAAATGGAGAAGCTGCCACATTTCTGGTTAATGGCCTCTGTTCACACTCCCTTTTTCTGGAAGCCTCTTAGCCAAATCTTCCCCTCCTTAGCCCCACCCACCAGGCTGAACAATGCATGGAAAAAAATCCTTCCTTCTCTGCCTCTCTCCCTTGTTTTGCCCAAAATGATGTACATAAAACATGAAAGTTGTTAGACATTCTTAAATGCCCTCAAACTGGTTCCCATTCCTGAGAAATTCAGATCATCACATAATAGAGGGGTTACCATTTAACTATTATTAGGTTATTTTCTTTTTGCCATGAAAATAGCCATAATTTCCTTCATTACTGAAGCAGCAGCAGAGGCTGAAAATTGCACAGATTCACCCTTTTATTCTACAAGCATTTTCAGGGGGACCCCATGATCACAGTTCATAAACTGTGACATAAATTGTGTCGTAGACTTAACTTGTGAGATCCAGCATAAATCCCATCTTTCATTTGATAGTGATTACTACACACTCGTTCCTTCCACTCACATTCCTTGGCTTAAAATATCAGGGGTGACATGTGCATTACACTTAACAGCTTCCTGAGGCAACGACCCAGGTAAAGATGTATTTTTGGCTTGAATTACCCAGGATTATTGCCTCCATCCTGTATGTTACCAAATAGAAACAGCAGACTGGTTGGTAATTCTGCCGACTAAATGATATGTGTTTTCATACATACCACCTTTATTGTGCATTACAATCAATGAGGGATATTGAAAATGCAGAGAGTAAAATGTGGTGCAGAAAATAAAGTTTGGTTTATGGATCCAAGGCTAGGTTTTTCTTAAACAAACATTATGTGCAATACGCAGAAATGTTGACTAAATTCCATCTTTCTAAAATCAATGACTACTTTATAAACATCCATTTAAGAGAATTCAATTAAAATTTGGCAAGTTAAACAACAACAAAAAAGATATATTTATAATGCTAAAAGACAACAATCTCCAAGATTTCTTATATGGACAGTGTTGAATAGTATCTTACCAAAGGGTGATGTGGCCACAATTTTTTTTCCTACACAAAGTGTCATCATATACCGTAGAGGGAGGAAAAAGACATGTGCAAGCATTAACTGTTCATGTTGGTTCCATCAGCAGTTACTGGGATGAGGACAGAAAAACAAACAAAACTATCTCAGTGTCCTGAAAGCAAACAGTAAACACAAAGGTAAACTTGTTAATGGAATGTAGAATATTGTGTAAACTTCCTTGTAAATTCTGTACATAGTTCATTGAACTGTTCCCTGTTGCGTGGTGGTCCTGGCTTTAGGTGGACATTTGAAAACTCTGAGCATTGTAAATACTGTAAGCTTATAAGGCACTTGCTTTTATCCATTAAGTGAAACGACTAGTGATTTGGACCCAAACCAGAATCTTTTTAGCCCTTGCTCTTTCTCTGCCATTTTGTGTGTGCAGTTGTGTAACTCTGCCCGGTGCCTGTGATCACTGCCTCATGCCCCAACCCCATGGAAAGGGACAGTACTGCTGAGAAGGCTGCGCATCCGTGGGGCTCGGGAACGGCAGAGACAGAAACTGTAGCCAGCTGCTCCTGGAAATGTGTCATGAAAAGTAGATGTGTTTTTATGTCATTCGTGGCTATTCATATATTCAGATACTGAATTTCCATGCTGTTGAGGGAGTAAGGGGTGGGAGAGATAATCATATCCGCAGGTAATCCAAAGCTGTATTTGCACCAGTAGCTTTAGCTTTTAACTTTTTTCTTTCCACACTGTTTCCCAGAACCTTTAATAAGAATAGAAGTGAGTGGGTGGGTTTGATCAGGGTAAACAGTCAAATGTCCAACTGATGGGAAGGAGAAAAGGAAGAAATAGTGAATGGCATTGATAACACCAACTGACTGATTCCTTTCTGAAATATTCAGAAGTAACCCTGTCACTTTTTTAAAATAGTAAAGGGAAATATTGGGAATTAAAACAAGCATTTTTCAGCTGGAGACCCGGGATATGTTTGATATACGCGAGTTAAACTTAAAAGAGAACCTGACAATTAAATATCCTCAAATATATTTCTCCAAAGCCCTGGTATTCTGAAAAAGTCTTCAGAATGGTGGGATATTATGCTATAAGATGTGTTTCCATGCAAACTGACAGTCCCAGAGAGAGAGCAATAGCATCTACAGAAATTCAGAATATCCAAGCAAGAAGGGACATAGATGGGTTTCTTAGCAATATTTTAGATTGCACAGTGTCTTTCTTAGAGGTAAGAACTTAGCAAGACAGGGTTTTTTTGTGCCAGCATTTTAAGTGTCAGGAGCCATCATTGTGAGACATTTTGGTTCAAAATGTGCTGATGAGGGTCCACCATCAATTGAAGAAGAAAAATGCCCTGTTGGAACTTATCAGGTCAGTCAATTTGTAGGCCCAGAATACATTGTGCTTTTACTTTAATCATACTGTTTTCTAGTTAACTGAAAACAACTACACTAACAGAAAATTTGGTTGTAAGAGGTTGCAATTTCAGAAGCAAACACTTGAAAGGAAATGCTTTTTAATAGAGAAATTGCAAGCCAGGAAATACTAAGTTCCTGGAAGAGGAACGGAAAGAGTTTTGAGTTTGTTGTTACTTCTCCAATAGCAAGAGCTTCCTTATTTGAGCTGAAAACATCTCACAGTTGTTTGCTTTGTTTTTCCTAATCAAAAATTCCTTGATACGTCAAGGGACTCACAATCATCCCTGACTGGCCCCTAGACACCTGGCACATCCTGGAGCTACCAGCACTCAACAGAAACGCTTCAGCAGGAATTAAATGTGGGGAAAATAGTGGTAGTCTTTCCGGACCAGCAGGGAAAGAAAACCATTCCACTGAATGACTTGACCAGCACTTTCTCTGCATACAATAGAAAAACAAAACAAACAGATAGGCCAAATAACATTAATGCGTTTGCCTTAGGTTCACAGGGTCACAGATTCACTAGCTTAAAACAGCCCCAGTTGGAAGCCAAAGGATGAATAAGAGGAGTCAGCATTCCTATCTGGCTCCTACTTCTCCCTGGGTTTCCTTTTGGAGAGAAATGGAGAAGAGGGGACATTTTCCAATGTGACTTTTTATAAGTGAAAATTATTTAAATAGGATATGTGTGTGCATTTTGTAGGTTTGGCTGTGTAAAATAGATTACCTCTCTTGTGTTCATTCCTCCTCATATGCCATCCTGCCTCATGCCTTAACCCAATGAAATTGATGCGTTTCTTTTTCTTCTTTCTCATTTCCAGACCTCATAAGTTATCTTGCCCGTGAAGCTGAAAGTTGGAAGCTTCTTTGGGCTTATATTGCACACTTTCAATTGAATCCACAAAAATAATGAATTTTAATAATTTCCCCAAATTCCTACTCCTATTGCCTTTAAAAGGCTTTTGGGGGTAGCTTGTGTACTTACTGTAGCCTCCTCCAAATTGCCTTGGGTTATTTTTCTTTTCTGTCCCTATGTGAAGAGCACATGTGTTTACATAAACCTTTTCTCTCCCAGCCTAATTCAAAATATAATAAAATAAGCATTAGCTCAAACCTAGAAAAATTTACATTATCTACACTATAATTTGATAAGACCACCTCTGTACATTGTAGTTGTAATATTCACACAGTCGCAATTCTTTTTCATCAAACTCATTTAGTCATGCCCTCCTTCAGCCCTAATTGGACACCATTTAAAAGTCTATTATTATTCCTCCCAGAATGGCTTATCATTCATGTAGCACACCGCTACTTACAGACTATCCTCTAGGAACTTGACCTGCCTCAGCTGTTCTGTATCTAGTTCCTATTAAAGGTTTCCACTTCTATGCATCACCCTATCTATTCCCTCTTAACCTTCCAGCAGACATTAAATATAGTTAGTAATGGAGTAGGTCATAATGCAAACTGTCTAACTGCCTTTATAAAATACATAGAACATCTTTTGTCCATATCGCATTTCTATGCTTAGAGAAGAGAGAGTTCTCTGAACATATATCAAGCAATGTGCAGCTTAACTTTCAAAGTTAACAAGAAATGTGCTGTGTGGTGGGGAGTGGGAACTTAGAGTGGGATGGAAGACACCTTGGCCATAGGGCTGCACACCCTGGCCTTTGCGCTGTCTACCACTGCCCAACTGTGTGACTTCAGACATGCCACCAGGTGACCTTCAAGTTCCCTTCCAGAACTAAATTTCAAAGGGACTTTTAGAGAGGTTCATTTGTACAGGAGGTTTCCAGAAATATGGAGGAGTACCATGGCCTCTGCTAACATAGCCCCACAAATTTAGTCATGTTCCTTGTTTCATGTCTTTGGGAGTAAGCCAGCAGGGTGTCAAGTGAATCAACTTCAATACATGTTCATATTCCTTTAAAAAGTATATAGAACATAAAGTTAAATTGGCATGCAATTCGAAAAAAAATAATTATTTTATGATTTTAGTAATGATCTACAGTACAATGTTTCCCTTGAAGAGCATTGGAGAATCCCAGGTAGCATAAATCAGTGTGGTCTCTATTTTTAGATCTCTGGAAGATGTCACTTAGGAAAAGCCATGGCATGCCCCTCGTGAGTGGAAAAGCCAGCTTCTAAGCAACATCTCAGCAGAAGTGCTGTTGCAGGGCCCCTTAATGTTCCTCCCCAGCTCTGGACCCCACCACTGTCTTGTGCCGTGTAAATGGAGAAGCAGATAGGGTTGACCTCTCAAGAAGCAGCTTCCAATCTAG